CAATCACGCGTCTACTGTATACACAAACTATAGGGAAATCCCGGCACACATTTAACCTGCCCCATGGTGACCTATCCAGTGGATATAATTATCTACTCTTTGAACAACTGGGGCCAGGCCTTTTGCGGGTTGATTTCAAAGAAGTACTATTTCTGATGTGTGCTCAAGGCGAGGTCTCATGTTTCAGCTACGAGTTTCACTTCACATAAGTATTTTTTCCACATGCGTGTATGAAGATGGTTTGTTGGTTCTACTCACCTTTTAAGTCGGAATCGATGCAGAGTACGTGGGCGTTGTCGTTTTCTTCGTCTTGCAAGGCGACGTGACGAATAAAATTAAACGCTGCCTCAAATTGCGATCCTTTTCCTCGGACGTCGGTTTTGCCGGGACACAAAGTGAAAATGTCACTGTCCTCAGTAACCACAGTTGCAAAGTTAATATGATACCTAAATGAATGACAGAAAGAAAGAAAGGAAGATAATTAAGACAACTCAGTGCGATTGTCCAACTCTTGGACTTGTGGATATTGAGAACTTACTTACACAAGTCAATCGTCATTTGTTTTAGAGACCGTCTAAATAATTGACTTTCCCGTATTAAATCATTCGTCTGCGGTTTAAACATGAAATTTCGATTCCTTTACGTTACTACTTCCCGTCCTTCGTGTTTACTTAGTCCACATCTTGGTCCATCGGTATGGCAGGAGTCATGGCCTCGATCTAAGACGATTTTTTAGGCTTTCTTTTCGCGACGTCTTAAGTTGCGCCCATATCTACTATGGTGTTTAATTTAACAAATCTTTCATTTTTAATTCACAGATATAAAATTTCATATATTTCACTTTCATTAATATCGTAATATTTTATCGAAAATGGTTTATCCAGTCGTACAAAAGAGACCAAATCCGTTATGATATTTCGCTATATTGTCTCGCATCCTTGCCCACGACATTTAAGTTCCCATAACTGAGTTGGACCCTCTAGTGCATGTGGAATTCCCTACTCTTCAAAATAAGATAAATATTTTTTCCTTGCTTACTTTTCCAGCAGGGGCGCAATTTCTTTGTCATGTTGAACGTCTAGAAACCACGGTCCAGTCATGCTGGTGTTTGATTTATTTTTGTGCGTTCCATCTGCCATTAAAATGAGAATTTTGCCATCTTTGCATACACCGCGCTGGATCAGGCGTGCAAAATCTTTAACGGCTGCTTTGGCAACACCTTGAACCGTTTCTCGCTCTGTGGCTCGATAAGATGGCGTCAGAAGAATGGAGGTATATGCGTTAAGTCTGAAATAATTATTTGTCGTAGTTAGTAAGTTAAGCAACCATCCCTCTTTGATGATAAACACCTTTTCGTTTAAACAATGTTATAGAAAGAGCCCAGAGAATTTCCTCGGCTAAATAAACAATAGTCTTCATTTGGCCTGAACTGCTCGGGTATTTGTCCGCGGATATTATCTGTTCCGAGAAGCGAACAGTTTTCCGAGAGCGTAGCTCGAGGAAAATTGTGAGCTTCTAGTTGAGCAACAGATAATATCTAAGGACAAATATCTAAGCATATTTTGGCGGCAAATGGAGTTCATTTTGTTTATTATCCTTCGAATATTTTTCGCAACCGCAAAGTTTTGAAAATTGGGAAATATCATCGTTTTAGCTGGGGAATATTCGGTCACGCGACGCGTTTAGATCAATCGCACGCGAGCGAAAATATTTGATGGATTATAACAATGCTTAAAATGAGAAACCCTTTCGATGCTTGTGTATGATATGCAATGAAAAAGGATTAAATCACTTTGCACACCCGCTCGTCCCAGTTTGACCGCAAGAATCTCATTGAAGACTAGAGAGGATGAGATATCTTGTTGAAGATGAATACCCTGTGCCCTCCATATAGGCAGTAATAGCCTCTCACCTGATGGCCTCGCCCTTGTTTGTCCATGTGCGAAATCGCAGCTGACCACTTTGACTGTAGACATGTCCAGGCCCCACGTCCACTGTGATATCGTGGGACTGGTACTGTTTATTATCACGAATGTATTTCAGCATCTTGATTTCTTGATAAAATACAGAAAAAAATTACATTTAGAATAGATCATTTTTTCTTACGACTGTCCAAAACAAACCAACTGTTTGAGTTTCTGAATTTGGCAGTAAGAAATTAAAGCGAACAATTGCATACATGAGCAAGCGGACACAAACTTCTGGAGGCCTAGTTGCTATGATATACAGTTCTTACTTAACAGATCGTGATACTACGATTATCAGTTGAGTAAGGCACGAGGGAAGTTTGGTTACGAAGTTTTGGCCTTGAAATTATGGTGTTGTCACGGGCAACTTACCTCGTTTCCATTGGTAACAGTATCAACGGCCGTTGGTCGCCTGTCGCGTCGCCTACAATTTCGCGCGCGTTGCTGCCAATGACGTAAAAGGCCGACAAGTTACCAATGGATACGGAGCCAGTTGCTCTTGGCAATAACAAGATTTTTACGTTAAAACTTGGTGACCAAACTTTCGTCCCGCCTTACTCAACTGATAATAGTAGTAAGTCCGTGTGTAACCCTTTGTGCATGTCATATGTATATCCTTATTGACCATTAGAAATAACAAATTGACGTGTTTTTTATGCGTCTGTCTTGTTATTGATCATGAATTTCGTCATAAACATTGTCAAAGTAGCTGTGTATCCGTACACTCCTTTGACAATGTTATGATGAAATTCATTGTCAATAAGAGGACAGACGCATGAAAAACTTACGTCAATTTGTTTTTTACGATAACAAATTGTCAAATTGTCCGCTCTCGCTCGTTGACGCATCGCATGAACTATAATGTGTCTGTCCGCTTATTGACAATGAGTCACAAGTCACAACTGATCGAGTTTCGATTTTTGAGCGAGTTTTATGTTTAACACATAAACCTTAAACTCGTTTGAAATGACCAAACATTCAACACAAATTACCCAGACGACACAAAGACAACCCCACGTTGAGGCAAGTGTGGTTTATTTACACAGATAAGGCTATTTTTCTAAGCAGTTTGACAAATGAAGTGAATATCCGAAAGTGAGCATGGGTTGCCTGTGCTTAAACTGTCTCGTTGGTTTCTCTGTGGTCTTTTAGGTTTCCCGCTGGTTTTTTTTTGTTTTATTTTTTTGTTACGTTTGTCTTTGTTTTTGTTTTCTTTTTTTTTGGTTGTTTGGTTTTTTGTTGTCGTTCTTGTTGTTGTTTTAAAGTACAAATCATCGAGCCCTTGTGATTAGAGGGTTTTATTACAGGGGCAGAGCAAAATTTTAGAGTCACATTGAAGGAAGGACAGGGAAAATCAGTGGAAGGCTATTTATCCGACCAATACATGTTTGTTTACCTACGGACGCGATCTGAGCTCCTGCGTGATCTCGATCGTTTCAGAGAATTAAGTTTAGACCTTTGAAAGAAGAACAGAGCCGTTCCTGCAGTATGTGTAATTGTTGCGCTTTTAGTTGATTTAATGAATGACCAAGTTACTTTTCTACAAAGAAAGGGCATCGCAGCAAATTTGCCTCGGCCGTTTTACCGTGTTGAAAGCACTCGTCGATCGATGAAGGACTTTTGGGAACAGCGATTTTATTCTCTGCCGATTGCTGTGACTTCGATTCTCAACGTTATTTAATCAAGAGAGCTTTACAGAATTCAAGTTCTCCCAGACTAATTCCGTCTTCTTTAGTTAATTCGGATTCTTGTCGGTACAAGCCATATCTACGTAAGTTTATAGCATTTCTCAGGCAGCTCTCTGATCTATCGCTGGTTAATCTCTAATCTAGGCGACCAATCTAGACTAAAATAATTCCCGATCGGTTTAAACAGGGTTTTGACTTTTCAGGAGGCGTTACTCAATGGAACAGCTTTTGCCGTTTGTCAATATTGATGACTACATACTGCAGTGTACACAAATAAATTCATTTGAGTTAGAGAACAGTACTCGTAAACGTTTTGATGGAAATCATTTTCTGCTTTCGTGACGATCACGCGCGGAGCACATGAAAAGTGAGAAACGTCAATCATATTTTTCGCGCCAAAAGTTTACGCTCTGATTCACATTCCTGCAAGTGAAACAAATCGATCTCTCGCGACCTAGGTCGCTCGCGCTTGCCCTCCTGACTTCGTCGCCCCAAGATTACTCTCTCGCTTCTCTCGAGGGAGATAAGTAAGTCAAGGATTAAGAAAAGGTCAACTTGTGGCAAGTCTAGTCCAAATTATGTTTCCGTAAAGGATAACAACAGCATACCACGATAACACACTGCGATACACATTGCCATACACACTGCGTACACAATTGGGTTTGCAAGCCAAATCATTCATAATTGAAAAGACCTTGAACTGTGCTGATGACTGGAATTATCATAAAAAAAGGGAATATAAGCGGTGAAGCGAAACATGTGTTAGTGGACTTTTAACAGGCGTAGTAGAAGTGTGGAATATCGAGGGCGAGTATTAGTGGTGTAGCGGTTATCACCTCTGCATTGAATGCAGGAGACCGCTAGGGACTAGAAATGTCCCATATCTAGTACTCAACCAATGTTTTGCTTAGAGACGCCCCCATCCCTCCTGAGCCTCCACATGTTTACCGGACAAATTATTACTAAGGTAATAAATTTACTCGTTTGCATCGACTAATTAGTGTCTCAAACTCCAACGTGTATGGAAAGGTCTGCATTCGACGCAGACCTGTGATAAAAGCAAAAACAAGTTAAACCGGTGATACGGCTTAAGGCTCCCGAGGCCGCATCGCTCAATCGACTTTCGTTCTGGTAGCATAGATAAAGCACTTCATTGAAATGCCAAAGCCACAAAACAATTTTAACGTTTCGATTACTTAGCTGAGCCTTTCAAGTTACAGATGATATATGATGAAAATTGCTTACCTTGGAAACAGATCGACGTCTGTGTTCAAAGCACACTTAAAGCCACTCCTTTACCAAATACAATGTGCACACACCACGTACTGCTTTTAAACTAAGGACACCGCTTTTGAACTAAAGTGACGCCCTCTGGGATTAGACGTCGAGGACTACGCATGCGCTACACGTTCCAGATTCCTGGGAAAGTGATTTCATGCGTGAACGAACAGTCGTACTGCGTTTACAGGGTATAAAATTTTGTGGTGGTAACATGAAAAACGAATACAGAGCCACAAAGGGGAACCGGAGTGAACTAGTACCGAACTGAAGGTCGGCGCGGCATCAGAATCAGTAAACCAACCGAACGAAATGGCGCTTACTATTTACAATTCGATTTCCTGTAATTGTTTTCGGCTGATGAGACACTGGAAACTGAAAAAATGTAACAAATGGTAAGGAAATTTCCGAACGAAAAAAGGTCTACTTCTGGAGGTAGTCTCTAAATTTCCGAAGGGATTTTACGGAAATTTACTGTACCATTTGACTTTCCGCCGAAATTTCCGGATTTTCTGGCTAAATGATAAGCGCCCTTGATCGTTTGATAAGGAGGTAAAATTTTATAGCAGATGATCTGTATCTGTTCTCAGTACACCAATGAAAAGGCTTCCTTGCCCGTTTTACGCCCATCTCGGGCCAATTTATTAACGTATACATTTTTAACATGCTGTATGCGTGAATAAATCTAGACACAATATTTACAACTTTCTACAATAGTCCTCCTAAACTAATTTCTGGTTATTCAGCTCATGGTGGATGTGACATTGGTGGCAGCTGTCTCGGCTCTTCTGATTTCATTCATGATCTGTGTCAGATCTTGGATGAACACTTGAATCTGAAGATTAAAAACGTAAAGATGAAGCACAATCAGCAAAAGATTACATTTTAAACGTCTTACACGATAACAGACTGGCGAGAATCATGAAGACAACAAAACAACGCGCTCTTACAAAGCCCCGTCCACATTACACTGGAGGAATTTGAAAACGCAGCTTTATTTCTACGGTTTGGCCTGCCGTCCACACCGATATAATCCATCAAGAAAACGGAGCTTTTCGAAAACGCTCTTCAAACCGCAGAAATTTGAAAACGCCGGCTTCAGTTGCGTTTTAGTGTGGGCGGAAAACATTTTGAAAACGGAGCTATTCGAAAACGATGACGTCACGACAATCACGTGATTTTCCTGCCCGAGTTTTCCTCAAACACAAATCCAAAATGACCGGTAATTGATGCGTTTTCAGATTCCTCCGACAGAGTTAGGACGGAAAACATTATTTTCATGCGTTTTGAGAGTAAAAGCTGCGGCGTAGTGTGCACGGGGCCTTAGTATGTGTTAGCCCAGGAATTGAGCAAATGCACTGTCGCCACAGGGTAGAGAGTATTCTGGGGAATTTGCGGACTAACAGTCTGTTTCGCATTCTAGCAATGAGCGCCCGTGACCCTCGAACGCCCCAATCCCATATTTACCTGCTTCGTTTAAAAACTAAATTAAAACAGTTATTTTTTGAACTAAATAATAATAAATATTATGCCTTTCCCTTTACATTTTCTAACCACCAAACGTTGCCCTGACTCGATAATCTTTTGATGGTTCGTCTTTATAAAGGTTCACTTGCTACATAGCCCTAGTCTCGTTAGTTCTTGCCAAGGCTGCGGTCTAAGAAGAACTACGAGGAGCCCAAAGGCTCCTACCCATGAAATCCTGGGTGCCCAGCACGTAAGCTTTTGCCCAAAGGCAAAAGCTAGTGGCCTGTGGCACCCGGGTGCTTTTAGAGCACAGCCCTGCTTACTGATTTCAAAGCCGATTTAACCTTTAGAAAGAATGCACTGCATACAGCACTGCATACAATAAGTCATTTCCTAAAGTAAGCATGTGGGTGAACCAGATTTATGACAAACCCGGAAGTGTGTAAGAGACGGTGCAATCTTCGTCAGTAATACCGAAGAATGGAGAACGCGCGTTCAGACTATTGACTGCGATCAGACGAAGGAAATACTCAGTAGCACTACAGAGAAGCATTACCTTTTCCAGCTGTTTTTCAGTGAGTTCTATGACTGTGTTCTGTTTCAGGTGTCTGTTTACGAGCATAAACAGGTTATGGGTTGCCCTGCCGGTAAAAAACGAACACTTTTACTAAAGGCACTCATGAATGAGTAGAGTCTGACTGAAGTAACATTCAAAAATAATCCTTAAAATGTTGACATTTTTACTTACATTTTTATTCTTCCTAAAAGGAGAGTTTTCTTGGCCGCTGTGTTCTGTATGTGAGTCCACTGTGATTCCCTGGAAACAGCAAAGTGTCTGAATTGTAACGTTGATGTATTTGATGAATGACGCATTTTTTCATCAGTGCTGAATGAAAGATAAAGTTTACCATTTGACGGCCACGCTCTGAGCCTTCTCCAGCTGTGTCTGTAAATGTGCAAGCTATTCAATTTAATAGAGAAGGCAAAAATAAGATTATTATCAAGAATAAAAATCGTTGAATGCCAAAGTTGTTAAAAGAGTTAAGTTATGAATATCATTAGGTGGCATTCCTGTGCGTGACGTCGAATTACGTTACTCCTTATATTTCTTGTTAAATGCTTTAATTAAAGCAACTGACCATTCGATCTCTTAATTCTACAAGGCTTATAAA